CAAGCTCACCCGTCATAATGAAGATATTTAAATATTTCAACATAACACAATTACTATATTAAATTTGATCAAATTTATTAGAACGTCATTGACACTAATTAAATGCATAAGTCAAACGTAAAATTTGAAAAGTTTTCTTTTTGGGAAGGGCAAAATTTCCAAAGGAAAATCATCATGAATATTACACAAACAATAACGACAACAAAAGATTTGAAAAATTCAAGCAGAATTTGAAATAATGGAGAAAAAAGGAAAAGGACTATATTTTCCTAGAACTGTTTGCGTAGATGTAAGTGTGCTTTGAATATAGCCTTTGTTATCCTTTTTGCGCACTAATTTGCTTAATAGTGACTTATTCGGTGAAGCAACAGAAGTGCTAGGAAAGCACAAAAGTTCGCTATTGTTCTCCTAAGTATTTCAAGAGCATTTTTCCAAAATTCAAAACAAACGCAAGGGTGTGCACACACTACACAAAGGAAGGAGCGTGTGTCGTGTTTTCAATAGCAATGTACCTCCTTAGGTTTATTACCTTTCCATAGACGGGTGCTCTCTATTCATGGCAATAGAAAAATTTTACTACTGCCAAAAACGGGGCTACATAAATGACGCTTGGTTAAATGAGATTTGTAAAGCAAAATAAAAAAAAAATGATTTTTTTTTTTTGCAAATTAATAATGCGAGACGCTATGTTTATTATTCAACTTTAAAAGCAATTTTTTTCAAAGCTTTTCATTAACAATTTTAATAATACATACATGCTACTTCCTTTTTGAAGTAGTCGGATACTCCTGCGTAGACATTTACTTAAGCATAAGCTTCAATTCTATTTATAAAATACATAATAAATCTTCTTATTTAATATATATATCGTAGAGTGCTCAATGAAAGAACTTAATTTAATAGGGGAATGGAGCCGTCCCCTATTTCTTACGTGGGCAGTTTCTTTTTAGGTAGTCAGACTTACCTGCATTAAATACCTAGGAATCACGTTTGATAAACGGTTCACTTGGCACAAGCACATACAATTCAAAAGAAGTAGTTGCGCCAAAAAAGACTGCAATGCCTACGACCACTTTTCAAACACAACACTAAACTAAGGTTTAGTGCGAAACATAGAAAGCTGATCTACAGCCAGATAATTAGACCAGCACTACTTTATATGTGTGTCGTATATAGCAAAGCTGCCAACTCTACTATCCAGAAGCTGCAAGTTGCTCAAAGTCAGGCTCTCCGATGACTCTTCAAAGTATCATGGTACATCTGCACGAATTTCATGCTAAGAGACCTTAGAATAGATCCGGTCAAAAAATACATAAGGGACAGAGTCCTAAAGTTATATGCGAAAACCGACAGGATGCCCTACCTAGCACTATCTAATCTCAGAGTAATCACTAACCAGACGAGGCGGTACACAGATCTCAGATCAATCATTGAATAATCAAGAAGCTTACGAAGAATACACAAATTTGTAAGTGATACACAAATTTGTAAGTGGTTGGGACTCTGCAAAAACCACCCGTCGTGAAAGTGCGCAGATGCACTAACTCGGAAAAGGCTCAACATTAAAACATTAGAACTTACCTGAGTTAAGCATAAGCTTAAATTTTATTTATATATTATATAGTAAATATTTTTATTCAATATATATATCTTAGAGTGCTCAAATAAAGAACTTGACTTGACTTTAAAATGGAACTGTACTCTTACGGTGGTAGTTTGAAAATTAAGGGACTTGTTGAGTTTCCTGATTAGTAACTTTAAGTGCAACTTTGTGGCAGTAAACTATCATTTCTTAGCAGAATACTACAAAAATTTTATTTAAAAAGTCACTAAATTGACGAGCTACCCCCGTAGTTTTATTTTTATGGAAATTACAATATAGAAAGAGAAGTCCCTTCATTTATTTTACAGTTTGTATTTAATTTATAAGTAACGAAATACGTTTTGAACACCTTGGGAGGGTGACTGTGTTCCTGACTGTGTTCCTTCTGAGCTGCTTTCAATCTTCCTTTAAATTTGATATTCATTTTATTAACTCTGTTAAGACACGTTGACAACTTGAAATGATATTTTTGTATAGTTATTATCAACAATAAAGCGTAAATTTGTGTCATGAATAATTCAGTCAAATTTAGTGCATTCTCCTGTCTAGCATTTCTTTTAAGTAAGGAAAAAAGTTTATAATTTTTTATATTTATTTTATTTTAATTTAAAATATTTTTTCATTATGCTAAACCGAAAACATGAGACACAATAGCATATCCAAGGGGATAAGGGTTTTGGCATTCAAACTCTCCTAAAATATTTTGTACTATTTTCCCAAGTTCATATTATTTCAATTGAATATTTTTGTATGATCTTTGAATTATTTTTCAAAACTCGCCTTTTACACTAGTCTGTGTATACATCAATGATAAAAATATAAGAAAATTCGATTAAAATTAAAACCCTATGTTTTAATGTTCATAGCATTTCACGAATTAAGAAAGAGAAATTAAAATGAAAGAAAGGGGCTTAACATGACCCAAACACTATGAGGTAGTTACAAAATGAGTTTATTTTATGGATTATATTAGTAAATATTTTCAAGAGATGCCAAAAAGCAATGATACTCTGAGCGTCTATTACTGGCAACGTTTTGTCGCAAACGCCAGCGTGGACCTCAGTATTGTACTTTGGCTCCAACTGCTATAGTCAAAGGTTTACCGTATCCCATAACTAGTTATTTGCAAAAATATTTCGGTGATGAATATTTATTTTCATCACCATGTTAACAATATGGCGCTCTATGAAATGACGGAAATTTAGTTTCTGTGTGGAAAGTATGGTAATGACACTTTCAATCATATTTTTTATGGTTACATGGATATTTTCTGGATTAAAAGGAGGTTACTAGGTTGAATATTCATGATTTATGTTGACAACCACTGACAATGAACACCGCAACAACATATAGTGCTTTCGTCAGAAACTAGACAATAGATTCTTAGATAAGATCTTTGCAGTTAGTACAAACAGTTTACTGTGCTCGCTCGTAAAATGGTAGAACTTCTCGGTTAGGGTCTGTAACATTTCAAAAAATCTTTTGTGGTTACAATACGCTATCTCAATGAGAAACTACATTCCTATTCTACTTTAGTATTATTTCATCTTATACATATATTCGAAAAATATATCTATTATATAGAAATTCTGTAGCTATTTTTAGCTATCAAGCATCTCTCAGACAACTTACAGATAACTAACTTTTTTTTATTATTTTTGTAACACCAGTCCGTGTCATCCACTTAGGCTCGGTGTTGAGTTATGTTAAAGACTTACTAAAAAATAACTAAATTTTATCTCACAACAAGTAGTGTTAACAAATTTTCAAAAAATTTTTATTTTATATAATACACAATGAACAAAGGATACAAGTGTAACACATATAACAGTTGCCAAATAATTTCGCGTTAGTTAGCCAAATTGTCCTTTATAGCAGAAGTTTTTCATCGCATAGTAGCCAAAGTACCTATAATTATCACGTTTATCAAAACACCCAAAAGATGACAACAATGAAAACAAAATTTTACAACAAACACAATATTTGGATGTTAAAAATTATGGAGGATACAACCGAATTGTGTGGAAAGGTTCCATTTTCGGTGCTCTCACAATTGTGAACCATACCAAAAGCATACAGGAAGCATTTCTGGGAAAAGTAAATACATGACAGGAAGCATGAGAGTAAACATTTTCATACCATTATGCAAGGACATCTATGCAAGGACACCGTCCTCAATTGGGCTCTGTAAAGCAAAAAAGCAAACAAAACGCTTGTTTTCCAGTTTGCTTGTTTATCAGTTTTTGTGTTTATTTTGTTTGCTGGATGCTTTAGTAAATTTTGTGAACCAAAGCACAATTTTTGCCAAAAATATGTAAAAATATCGTTTATAAAGGCACTACAAATTGGGATGAATCTCGTCAATGCCAATGTGTATGAAAGGACTTTTTACTTTAAAAAAGATTTAAATATGCACATTTAATACTTAAGAATGGTTGAAGGATTAAAAGCAGTATATATAGATATGAAGAATAAAGTATAAAGACTACTTACTTTTACTTAAAAGTATACGTATCACAATACTCATATAATCTATCGCAAAGTCATAGTGATTTACTCATAAAAGGTATATTTCAATTTAGGAACTTCTTCAATTTTTTTAATTAAAAGCTATTGTCGTGAAATCATCCAAAAACCGGTACTGCGGCTAAAAGAGTTCTATTGTACCGAATTCCCTCATAATTACACAAAGCCCTTTAAAGCTTTGTTAACAAAGTCCATAATTAAATCTGGAGAAAAGCTCTTAATTTGCTCTGGTGACAGATGTGAGCACCTTAAAATGATATATATTCAGCAATGTTTTATAACATCTCGATCATAAATTCTTGAACTATAGCTATTTGAATGAAGTTTTTCAGCTATTTGTGAAACAATTAAGATCTATTGATATCAGCTTTTGAATGCTTGGTGATGATTTTTGTCGAACTTCATGGATAATGGGAATTGATCTATGCTACGACGATATTAACGTACTCTTTCTTACTGGTGCAAAACAAGCTTTTTCAATAAATCGCCATTGAGACAAAGAGGTCACAACTGAAAAAAAAACACTGAAAAAATCTACAATATTGTATGGAAGCCTTTAGAGGGGTGCTGCAGTTGCTCACAATTGACCAAAAACGATAACGACTTAGTCTTTCAAAACATTGCTTCGAAAAATTTATGCACAATCGAGCTAACTAAGAGCGTCAATTGTCGAGTAGTGACAATTGATGAAACATGGATCTATTACAACAACAAC